ATTTTTAAAATTTTTAAAGATAATATCAATTTTGTTGAATATTTCTCCATATTTTATTCTATTGTAAAATATATAACATATTTATTTTTCTTTTATTTTTCCTAAAACATCAATATAAAACAAAAAAATATATATGATGATTTTTGTAACGCAAAATAAATATATATCATATCATAAGAGTTATACAAAATACAAATAACATAAACACTTGAATAAAATCATTAAACCAAATAAAAAATACTATATATTAGATTTTATTAAATATTAAATTCTTGTTTAAAAATATCTAAAAATGTTAAATATTTTATATACATGGAGATTTTCGAATTTAATTTTCCACTTTTTTGGCAACAAAATTAGTATGATCCATAAATATAGGTAGTTTCTGTTTTTTATTATTTATTTATTTATTAAAACATTTTTGCTGTCATTAGTTTTGTTTGGCAACTAAAATATATTTCATGAATTTTTTTTTTTTAAATTGGGTCTGTTTGGCTTCAAGTTGTACTTCCCAATTAATAGTATAGATTATTTTAAGTAAATTGTATTGATTTTTTAAAACTAAAACTTATCATTATATAAATGTTTTTTAAAAATAGCTTGAACAATACACCAGAAATGGTATATTAAAAATATGTCGTTTTCTAAAACAATCAGCAAATCAAATCCGACTTGAACAATATATACTACCAAAACCAAATTGATAGGTGATCCAAAATATGATCTTCGAACCATGTGCAAGATTGTTGTGGCAACAATGGCACTTCACAATTTTATTCGAGATTCTAATAGGGCTGATGCTTTTGTGAGTTCGAAAGAAAGGAAGATTTTGTTGTAGAATCGGTTCATTTGGATTCAGATTTGGATGAAAATACAGAACCAATGCAAGTGGATTCAAATGCAGCTCTTCAAAACCATAAATTCATTCAATTAGAGAGAGAGACTAGACGCTTTGTTTAGCTATTACTCTCGTTTTGGACACCGTTACATCGAAACAGAGATCCATAGTGGAAATATCACTGGAAAAATTTGGAGTTATAGCCGTAGCAGCTTCCTCTTACATTTCTCTTGGAAACTACGCGGGTCGATGTAACAGTGTTCAAAAACGATCAAGATCAAGATCAATTCTGACAGATCAAGATCAATTCTGAAACTCATTCAAACTGAATATGATCAAAATCGTATCGTATTCAATAATAACATAAACATAAACTCATTCAAGCATTATATACAACTTTATCACTTATGATCAATACAAACATAAACATGTCAAGATCAATACAAACATCATTGATCATATAAGATTCAATTCAAATATGACTTATCATATGCAAGTAAGCATCTAAAACTGATCTCTAATTGAAGCAAAAACATCTAATAACCCTAATTCAGAAAGAGATTAATCGGATTACATATCCCATAAACAATCACAGAGAAACACACATACAATCACACATCTTTAGCTTTAGCTTAAGACAAAACCAAAACTTAAACAATCTACCAACCAAAAAAGAGAAACAGAATCTTCATCTTTAGCTTAACACACCACCAAAACAGAGAAACAAAGTCTTTTACCGCATAACACACAACCAAAAATTATTTAATCATAACCTAAACAAAGAAACTATGGCTAAAACCAATACAATATGCTTACTTGTCAATGCCAATTGGCAATTGCCAAACCAGTGTTTTTCGCGTCTTTATTTAATAAGATGAGACCACTTTACCATACTTTTAAGTATTCTCAGGTTTACCACATCACTGTACCGGTCTATGTAAAAACTGAGGGAGCGTTCCAGTACCAAGAAGTCCATTGTTTTTACTTTTATTTTAACAGTTTTCAAATTTTGTTCCAAAAATCTCACATCTAAGCTAATGATTGGTACTCTTCCCGTGATTAATGGATCTAACGCATGAAACGGTCCTGGATTTTTTCAAACTTTTGTTGATATATTATCATAAAAAAATTCCGTTCAGGATATAGAGTACATATATCAACAATCCAAAGAGTGTTGTTTCTTATCCGAGTTTCATGAGGCTACAAACAAACAAACAAATGGACAAGAATAAGGAATGAAGCTGAGTTTGAAACGCAGATTAGTGCCTCAGGTAAGAGCGATCCTCCCTCGACACCTCTCCAAACGCTTTAACCAGAAAGTTTCTCACATGGTGCATAATAAATGACAAGGGGGAAAAAAAAATGAAACAAACAGATTGGAGAAGTGTAATAGCCGTCATGGAAGGGCTTTGTTTTGTTTGGCTTAGAAGCATTTTCTGTGGACAATGCCTGGACCAGCCTCATCATACTCTGCCTTAGAGATCCACATCTGTTTAAACACAAAAGAAGAAATCAATAAGATGAATTTTCTACATTTAATCAGCCCAGTGCAAGAGAAGCTAAAAATGAGGAACGGCAGTCCAAATTTTACCTGTTGGAAAGTGCTGAGAGAAGCAAGGATGGATCCACCAATCCAGACACTGTACTTCCTTTCGGGTGGTGCCACGACCTTAATCTTCATGCTGCTTGGGGCAAGAGCTGTGATCTCTTTGCTCATACGGTCTGCAATACCTGAGAACATAGTTGTACCACCACTGAGCACAATGTTACCGTATAGGTCCTTCCTGATATCGACATCACACTTCATGATCGAGTTGTAAGTTGTCTCGTGGATCCCTGCAGCTTCCATTCCCACAAATGAAGGCTGGAAAAGGACTTCTGGGCACCTGAATCTCTCAGCGCCGATTGTGATCACTTGCCCATCTGGTAATTCATAGTTCTTCTCAATGGAGGAGCTGGTCTTTGAGGTCTCCATCTCTTGCTCATAGTCCACAGCAACAAAGGAAAGCTTCTCTTTAATGTCTCTTACAATTTCCCGTTCTGCTGTTGTGGTGAACATGTAACCTCTCTCGGTAAGGATCTTCATAAGGTAATCAGTGAGGTCACGACCAGCAAGGTCAAGACGAAGGATAGCATGTGGAAGAGAGAAACCCTCGTAGATTGGCACAGTGTGAGACACACCATCACCAGAGTCCAACACAATACCTAAAGAAAATCATTTCACTGTGATCAATACGACATATGATTAAGAAACAGAAAACAAAAATTAGTTTTTTCGATATCAGTAATGTACTAACCAGTTGTACGACCACTGGCGTAAAGTGATAGAACAGCTTGAATGGCGACATACATAGCTGGAGAATTAAAGGTCTCGAACATGATCTGCGTCATCTTCTCTCTGTTGGCCTTTGGGTTAAGAGGAGCCTCAGTAAGTAGAACCGGGTGCTCTTCAGGAGCAATACGGAGCTCATTGTAGAAAGTGTGATGCCAGATCTTTTCCATATCATCCCAGTTGCTAACAACACCATGCTCAATTGGATATTTCAATGTGAGGATACCTCTTTTGGATTGTGCTTCATCACCAACATAAGCATCTTTCTGATTCATCCCAACCATGACACCATGATGTCTAGGTCGACCAACAACACTGGGGAAAACCGCCCTGGGAGCATCATCTCCAGCGAATCCAGCCTGTAAAAAAGAATAGTCCATGTTATCAGATCTTAACAAAAGAGAGAAAAACCAAAAAAACCTGAAAAGTAAAGAAGAGTCAACTAACCTTGACCATTCCAGTACCATTGTCACAGACAATGGGTTGAATATCATCAGCATCAGCCATGGTTTATGAACTGCAATCAAAACATATAGATATGAATCTTGATCAATCAAGAAAGAGTCAAAAGCTTAAGTAATCAAAAACAGGCTTTGCATTCTGTATGAATTCAACTCAATGTAACTATCATTCACCATTACTATCATCACTAGACTTATATGATAAAAGCAGATTTCAAAATCCATACTCATCGGATGATCACTAAATCGTCAAACTACGAAGTCAAATATCAACTAACATTTCAAAGTTTAGATTTCAACATAGTCAAAGAATCCGGATCCATGGCAAATACACAAGTAAAATCAAGTCAAACATCAATCAGTTGGGCTAATCGGAGCCTAGATCAAAACATTTTCTATAATTTGACCACCGATCTAAAATCAAATCCGAAACAAACCTTTTGAAGTAATTTCGAATCGTAATCGAGATCCAACACAAGAAAAATTAGATCGGAGACTTTATTTACCTTAGTCGGAGGAGAAAAGACGAAGATCGAGAGATCGAGGAAGAAACAAGAACCAAGGCGATGAGGATCTGGCTCTCCCCAAGCTCTCTCTCTCTCTTATCACCGGAAAGTACAACGGCCGATGAAGCTGAAGACGACGAAACAATTCAAAGAGGGTTGTGTATTGAACTATTTATATACTCGGGTTTATCTGAAAAAACCAATTTGTTTTTTTTTTTTTTAAATGAGAAAGAAATAAAAATCGAGAGAGGCGAATCATTTCGACCATAGGAGAAAAAAGATAGCATGACCTGGCTGTCAGACAGCCTTTTCATTTTAGAATTTTTGAAATGTGTTTAAGAAATAATATCAGCCGTTGGATTTATCAGATGGGTATTGGATTGACTGTGATGATAGGCTTGTGTGACAGCTTCATTAATCATATTCCACTACTCAAGTCGGCGAGTCGAGGAGACAACGATGGTCATATTATTATATTGTTTTTTCAATGAATAATCCATGATTTCTACACCATGTTTTTGTTTTTAATTTGAGATCATTTATAATTTTTTATCAAACAATCTAATAATCAAAAATTTTAGTTACTTATTACTCTTATTTCTATCTGAAAATTTCGATAAGTGATATATTTTTTCATATACACTAACATTAAAAATGCATATATATCAAGCATTATCACAATTTTATATAAGTCACATTAAAAGTACATCTCTTATTTACAGTTTTGTGACTTTTATTACAGTAATTTTTTTTTGTATATTATTTATGTTTCACTAAAAGTATATATTGTATAGTTTTGTATTTGTTTTAATGCTTGATTTTTTAAAAATAAAACTTTAGCTTCACCCATATTATTCTATATTAATGTTCTGCTAATCAAACTTATACATGTGTTAGCTAAAAATATAATAGAAAACTAAAAATCATAAACAATACTTATGAACTGTAAAAAATAACAGATGTATATGTTAACAACCCAAAAGCCTAGGGACATAATTATTGATATTTATTAATTACAAACACGGTTTAAATTATTTAATATATAAGTAAGATAATTAAATCTTGCCAACAGCTAAAACATTATTAATCGTCGTATTTTTTAGTCAGGCATTCATATATTCTCGAATATAAAAAGTTTGATTAGCCTAAAACAGGACAAAGGGTAACACGTCAGATATACGAGGCAATACTGACTAACCTATGTGGCATATTTTGTTTGAACTATAAGAATTAAGACACTACAAAAAAAAAACACACAATGTTCATTCTGCAAAAATATATCCAGTCAACATATTTTTTTTAAAGTAATTTTATTTTTGATTTGTAATCTATGTCATTATACATCGTTACAAATCAGAACCTATATTTCTGAATGGCACCATAATACAAAAGCAGTTAATTTGCTAACATCTGTATGTATGTTCTCAATCAAACAAAATAATTATTTAGCAGATAGACTGTTTTTGAACTGCTTTTTTGTACTGCTTTTTTTTTAAAAAAATGAAAATATTTTTTTTCTCATGTTTTCTCTCAAAAAAGCAGAGCAATCCACCCCTATTTATTTAGAAGTGTTTGTGGTAAGTTCTGTTTTTTTATTTTATTTAATATTAATTGATTTAAAAATTAAATAAATATTTGATCTGCATTTGAAACGTTAGATCTATTTGATCTATTTTTGTTCTTCTCGATCTGCATGATCTGCTCTGTCCAATATGCTTTTCCCATTTCGAAGCCAAAATTTTACAATTAGGTAGTGATCTACAATTTGTAGCACAATAGTTTATTAACCAACCGGATTAAATGCCTAACAAAATTGTATCAATCGATTCATACTTCATAGCGGTGTCATATGTATTGATCCACTAACCGGAACAGAACCGATTAAAACCGGAAAAAGATCTAGAAAACCAGAAAGTCAACTTTATGATCCACGTGAACCGCACATGCGGAGAGAAAAGTACCTTAAGAACGTTGTGCCCCATCATTATTTATGAACCTACTACTCTTATTTAACATTGCTCATGTCATGATTACATTAATTATATCGTGACCCTATTCATACAATAATTTATAAGAATTATATGAAATAATCCACGTTAAAAAAATATCAATTGAATTTCTGTTTTGTTTTATAAGTTTTTAATTCTTTTCTTATTTGGTTGTACATTGTATTTCATTGTTGTGGCTCACCACATTCATTATGCTCCATATCTAAATAATAATTCACATTACCGTTCAAATCATCCTTGTCCTAATGTTGAATAAACTTAATATTTTAATATTTTTTATTTTTTTCATCTTGAGTCATAGCTGTGAATATTTATAGAATTTAAATATCAATAAATCCAATAACACTAAAATTTAATTAATGTGTCAAATAAAATATTGCTTAACAACAATACAATTATGGACTTGTGTTCCATTCAAATTCAATAAAATTATTTAGGTCTACCCAGGCCTAACTATAAACGAGCCATCAATTTAAAACGAAAAGTTGAAAATTTTGGGCTTTGATGGGCAATAGACTAGGCAATATATAGGCCCAAACAGAGCTGACCCGATTAGAAACTATGGATGATCCGAGAACTGGTTCTGAAAATCTGAAATCATTGGCGCCAACAAAGTGAAGATTGCAACTTCGTCGTCGTCTTCAGAAGATCTTAAGACTGCCGAGTACGGGTAAGAAAATTTCCCCTTTTTCACATAGTTATCTGGGTTCTTTTGTTTTGTCACAGACTCGTTTGAATTTCGTATATGCCATTCTCGAAATTTCTTTATCTTAAATTGAGATTCCCACTGATACTCTAATTGATTATATCAATTTGATTTGCTACTGTTTACGTCTTCATGTTTATTGTATAATCCCGACAAGTAATAACGTGTTCAGAACTCAGAAGATGATTTTAATTTGGTGTAATTGAAACGCTTCCTGATTTGTTGGTATAACTTTCTAGGGTTTTCAATTTAGTTCGTACCATTCTACACCTCTTTGGAAACTCCTTGTTTATCCAAAAATTTAATATCTTTCTTGTTGTTGTTGTTGTTGTGTGTAATCTGACCTTGAGTGGAATTGATCTTAGCATGTGACAGAGCACGAAATGCCGGTTATTAAATTATTGTGGTCACTTAGTTCTTTCTATCACTTTCTTCATGTGATCAAACCATTGCTTTTTAGTGTTATTTGATTTTGACCTTATGGTGGATTCGTGCTCGGAGCCCCATTCACTTTATACCGTCTGCTACAATATAGCAAGTGGAAGAGGTCGAACTATCGTTGTATAAGAAATTACACATGTCTTAACTTTCTATATCTGTCTTGTTGTGTGTAAGCTGGTCTTTAGTGGACCTTTCAGGTTTTTTTCGGAAGCAGCGTTTAGTTTTTCCTCTGTGTTGTTTAGTGAGTTTCTCTACTAATCAGTAAATTTCTGGAGTAATGTTGTATGTATGCTTTTTTTTTTTTTTCCCAGTCCATTCCAGCTCTTTATAATCCATTTTGCATGAATTGGGTTTAGTGAAACTGATCTTGGTATTTGAAAAACACATATGCTTGCTGGTTGTTGAATTATATTGGTCACCCAGTTTCTTTTATCATTCTTTTCATGTGATCAGTATAACCTCGAACCACCCCTTTTAGTATTATTTGATTAGACCATATGGTGGATTCGTGCTCGGACCCCCCATTCGCTTTATGCCGTTTGTTATAGTTGTGACCTCTCTTTTTCTTAAATCTACCACTTGTTTCTCCTTTCGGTGGATTGGATTAGTGCATGTTTCTCTCATTTGTGGGCCTTGACATTTTTCTCCGGGGCTTCGCGTTGTCACAGTTTTATATGGCCTGCTTATCATCATAGACTACAACATAATTTGTTCAATAACAAAACAAGAGGACTCTTCTACTTCTGGAAGGGGTACATCATAGTATTATATGCTTTATATAAAAGGGCAGTAATCCTTATGATAATCAGTAAAAATAACCTAGTGGCAGAAGGTGACTTTAATAACCTTGAAACTTCTTAATGGTAAGATTAAGACATTTATATTAGTTGACTAAGTGTATTGCCCACTTCCACTAAACTATTGCTTTAAGCTCTTAAGTGATTTTCCTTCTCATCATTCTGTACATTGGAGTTTTGATTTGTTTATGTTTTTTGTTTTCCAATGTGAGTTTTTGCAGATCTAATAAATTTTGCCGTTATCCAACACTTTTCATTGGCTTGTAACTTTTGAAATATTAACATTTAGGAGTTCAAGATACGAAGAAAGTAACAATTTCTCGTAATATTTACAACTTTACAGTAGAAATGCTAAACTTGCTTTTAAGTGTAGACCGCTTTTGATCTCAACTAGTTCTACTTACATAGTGGTTTAGTCGTGTTTGAAACACAACTGCTACAATATCTAGGTGACTAGTTCACCTAAAACAGCGTAACCATCTTTCCGGTTGTAGTGGTGCTATTTGCACAATGATGCTGTCTTGTGGTGGTTGAGTGGAGTTTAACGAGCTTGTTTGGCTGCAATCGGCTATCTTCTCGCATGTCTGGATGAGACAGTGCCTGCAGGTGGGACAGGACGAGTGGGAACTAAGCCACTTGTCTATACACCGGACGTGGAATCCATGGTTGCATGTTGGCAGCAGCTTCACACGCTCTTCAGAAACAAACTCTGAGAGACATATAGCACACTCGGTATCTAGGCCAGGCAGATTCAATTCAGTAGAGTAACTTACTGTCTGGAAACTCTTCAAGGCTTTTCGTTTGACTCCTGTGTTGGTCAGGCGAACTGGGTGGTTGTCACCAGCTTCAGAGGGTACTAAATTGGAGCACCTCAAGGCACATCTTATTATAGAATTGAGTCCAAGTGAACAAACGAGTGCACATAAGAGGACTGATAGGACCATAACAACATTTGCATCAAAGTTGTTATCACCTGCATATGGGGATGGTGCTGGAGTTGGTGACTGATCATGGTTATGAAATAGTAATTTTCTTGAATAAGAACTTCCAAGAATTTCTTGGAAGATCTCAGTTGGTTTCATAGTGGGAATGGAAATGGTAATGGACATGGTAACTTAGTTTTAAGAGAGATGAGTGGCTTTCTGGGTTTCCGTTGGAGGTTGTTTATATAGAGAAATGTTTGGAGGTTGTTTATATAGAGGAAAGGTAAAGTTTCAATTTTTTTCAGATATTTAATGAGGAATTATTTCTTATTTCATTTTTTTTTTCTTTCTTTAAATTATGGTTGGATGAATAAACTATAAAGATCAAAGCTTACATTAAGGACCTTTACCTTTAGTGTCTAATTTTATTAAATCATTTATAGTGTAATATGCTTTGCTATAGAAAATGGGTCCATCATACCAGTTGCTGCAATAGTAGTGCCATGTGGCTGTGGCCGTAGCAAATCAAATCTCCCAGAATTGCTTCCAGGGACCCATGAGCTTTTTAACTGGAGCAGCCAAGAACTTTCCCTGTCTTTGAGATAGCAGCATTTAGATAATATCTCCTGGCTCATTTTACTGAGATCTCAATGTGTCTTGGTATTGAGGCTTCTAATATATTTTTAAAGAGTTCATCAAACTATGCCACAAACATTAGATTTCAGATGTTATTTCACAATTGTGGTTTTGAAGAAGACTTTGTTTTGTGAAGCTTCTTATTCCTTTTTAGTTATTCAGGGTCAAGTCTTCCTTAGACAGTTTCCTTAGTGTCACATATAGGAAACTAAGCAAGGTTTGATTTTACCTTTTTGCTATTTTTTTAACAGTGGTGGATCTTAAAAGCTTTTGTTGAGTTTGTGCGGTTTTGAAGGTGTAGGGAAGAAATATTTCCATTTAGTGAATTCTACTTATGTTTGGGGAACAAGAATCCACCCCATCTGTAGTAACTTACATTGCCCATAGAGTTAGCCAAAAGGACAAAGTCTCTCCCAATCAATCTTGTTAAAGGCTACTTTTATCAAGAAAGATCACTCTCATAGCATTAGTATCCACCACCTGCTTTTTTTTTACTAAACAGTTTTTCTCTCTTTATCTTTCTATGCCTTTGTTTTTAAATCAGAGGTAAAGCAATTTGGTCCCACGACTGAACAAATAAAAAAATGATTCTTTTTGTTTGCTTTACGAGATATCGTATTTCATTGGTTGCAAATTGCGAGGGAAATCTCCATGAATCTAGTATCAAATGTTTTTCTTGTAGCTCCAAATCAAAGCAAGATTCTTCGAAAAGTTGCTTTTGTAGAACATTTTATTTCTTGCTACTTTCCTAATAGCTGGTTTAGTGAAACATTAAGATTGGGGAAGATTGTGTATCTTTGGGATAAAAAGTTGATGTTACATAGTAGGATATGCCTCTTTTCTATCTTTTCTCACCGGTCTCATTCGGAAACGGATTCCTTTTTTTATTTTGTCTGTGCCATTAGGTTACATATAACTGGCACAGAGATGCTGGTCAGTTTTGTTTTGGTACCTTCTTTAAAGCAAATAAACTTTACTTTTGTTTGTGTATGCTCGAATGATTCGTTTGCTTGGAATATCTTAATTTGATGCTCATTCACTTTTTAATTGAAAGTCTCCGTTTTTCATGACTACAACACTGCAGGAGTAACATGAATGATGGTGTGGAACTCGAACAGAAAGAAACATATCAGGTGAAACCACACGTTTTAAGGTTGGTGAGAATTTGGAATATTTCTGGGAAATTTTAAGTAAGAGTTTTGCTTGATGCATTTATTATGTGGGAATGGTTTGGATCCAATGGGATTAAAAGGGCCATGGGAAAAATTTCAGGAACATTATAATTAAAAAGTTCTCTTTTGCTAGAAACTGGAAATACTGAAACACAGAGCTTTATTAGTCCTGTCTCTTAATCATTTATCAACCATTATTGACTTTCTTTGGTGGAACCTATTTTTTAATCATTTACTCGTCAATGCCATTTCTCAGTGATCATCTTTTATTGCACTTTTGATTAGATATGTATTTGTTCATCGTTCCTACTAAATATCTACTAGATATCTTTTAAGTAACCATATGTTAAGTAAATATCTATTTATTCATTGTTTGTACTAATTATATCTGTAAAGTAAATATTTATTTGTTCATCTTTCCTACTAAATAATTTCTTTCTGTTAAAGTGTTTAAGTAAAATATCTATTTGTTCATAGTTCCTGCTGATATCTTTTCGGTCTTGATCTTGGTATTTGCTATTTTGATGACTACTCATGTGTGTGGATTGGTTTTGAGGCATATAGATAGATTATTAAGTGGGTCGTGTCAAGTGGATAGATGTATATTTTGTTCATGAACTTCGTGCATTTGTCACTGTCAAGAATACATGCGATAAGGTCTGGAACGTAATTGCATCCTGTAGACTACACTAGGCATTCATGATCAGGATACCATTTATTCTGCCTAGTGACTTTTTGGTTCAGTGTACTGACTGATATGACACATAAGAATATACGACCAGAACTTTATCAATCTTTGGTTGTAGTCTTATAGATGAATCTTGATGTTTTTTGGATAAGATTGCAAAATTCATATTCCACCGTAAAAATAACTTTGCAAAGAGCAGTTTTGTGAACTCGTAAGATGCTACTGAAAAGTGAGACAAATTCTCTCTATATACACTGTGCTACAGGCTAAAAAGAAAGACATAAAAAAATTAGAAGTATCATTGGTTTTTTTTTTTTCTTTCTCCTTTGGAACCCTCTATGGCTAAAGACATGAATTGTCCTCAGATTTAAAACCTTCTGTCTAACTGGAGCACAAATTCTGAATTTGATGGTTTCTGACTTTCTTGGCACCTAGATGATTTATCTAAAAGTATTTACTCTTCCTTCAGGTTCTAGTGGAGCAATCCTGACAACTACGCTCTCAGTTGGAGCTGCTACCACTTGATCAGCTTGGCTGAAGTCACCTAATATCTTTTGGCATGTCTCAACCAGACAGTGTCTGCATTTCGGACATGTTAAATGATGTTGAAGCCACTTGTCTATGCAACGAACATGGAACCCGTGGTTGCACTTGGGGAGTAGCCTGAGCTGTTCACCGGAAACAAAATCCGACAAACATATGACACACTCTTCGTCAATTCCCGGCAGGTTCATCTCAGGTGAGTAGCTCACAACTGGGAACATTCTAAGAGCTTTCTTCTTGATTCCTTTGTTTGATGAACCCCGTGTTGTTGGAAGACTGGATATAGGCTCAGAGATCATGAAACGTGCAGAACGTCTGGATCCACAACGGATGATGTAATGCAGCCCGAGGCAGCAGATGATGCCACAAATGAGGACTGAGAGAAGCATCAGGACGTTCCCACTGAGGTTTTTCTCATGGTTTATGAGAGGAGATGGTGCAACCGCAAAGGCTCGTTGAGTGTTGTGGTCAAATGGGTTGTGCAGAAGCAGCTTTCTAGAGACAAAACTGCCAAGGAATTGCTCTTGGAAGGCTTGCGCTGAAGAAGGTACCTCAGTTGCAGACATTTTTACTATTTTAAATAGCTTAAAATTAAAGTCTATTCTCTATGCTTTGCTTGTTTATTTCTTCTTAAGGTTTAAACTTCTTATATATAGCTTGAGATGCTTATTGATTACTGAGTGGGGGCTGAGAATTTTATAATTGGACAGAATAATTTTTTTACTATAAAAGGTGTGTTTTCTTCTTCTTTTCTTTTTTTTTCCAATGAGACTTGGGACCCTGAATGAGCTTATTTAATTTCAGAAATCCTTGAGTGCTGATTGTGCCATTGGCCCATACCTCCTCCAACCCCCAGATGCCTGTGTAGGTAGGTACTATCACTTTTCCAACATTGAATTTGGAAATCATTTATTTATGTCTTACTTTAAAGTAGAAGCTTTTTTTTTTTTGTCTTGAAATCATTTTTGTCTTGTGGTGATTCTTGATAAGCTAGATTTTAGTTTACTTTCACTATTATATATTTTGAGTTTGGGGAATACATGCAAATTCTGTTTAGCAATTCCCAAGTATCTAAATGTCTGCATATAAATGGTTCTCTTGAGGTGAAATAACATGAAAAAGATGAGAACTGGAATATTTTTGGGAATACTCAAGTAAGAGTTTTGCTGCATGTCATAGATAAGTAAAGCTCTCTTTTGCCAGAAACTTGAACTAGTGAAACACAGAGCGTTAGTCTTTCCTTGTAATTATCTATGTACCCATTATTATTTTCAGTCTTCCACCTTTGATGAACTTCTAAGTATTCATAGTTTCTACTAAATATCTACTAAAATATCTGTTAAGTATCTATATGTTCATCGTTCCTACTAAATATCTGTTAAAGTAAATATCTTTGTTCATTGTGCTAGGATGAATAGGCAGAGCCTATTGTGTACAGCTCTTTTGCTTTTCAACGGTATGTCGACAAAACTTTCTTTATTATATTATTAGCATAGTTCTGAATTGTAGCTACGATATTTGTTATATAATTATATTACAAAAAGGTTAGGCATGAATCTATCTTACTGATCGAGGTCTTTAGTCCAACAAGTGGCCCGGGATTTTCTTAAAGCACTAAAGATAGAATTTTAAACTTTATCTTCCAAAGCTATCATTGTCCTCTAGTGTGCTTCTGTCTTTAATCACTATTTTACTTTTACTAAAAGAACATTGAAATAATTGCAGTAGGACTTGAATGGTAGCGGAAATTTGAACATCTTTTGTTTTATTAACATCTGTTGATGTCCTACGGTTGTTCCAGAGTAGTTTATAGAAGGCAGAACTACAGATTGTTGATAGAGTAGTTTATACCCTTGGTTGTTGCAGTAAGGTCATTGGTTGTTGCAGTAAGGTCATTGATTGAACTTAAAAATACTTTGTTGCAGATTTTACAATCTCAATAGCATATTTACCAGATAATACCTGATACCATATGATATTCCTCGGATGTTTGTAATGGGCATATGCTAACCTGTAAACCACATTCTTCTGTTATTAACCAATAACTCTGATTTTTTGTGGACATCCGAAATTTTTATTAAACTCCCTTTTTAAAGTGGAGCTGTGCTTATTAATTGAACTTTTCAACACTTAATTTACATCTCATCCAATCAGAAATGCCTAGGATCTTAAGCCCAATTTGAACCATCATTTGTTTATAACATGTCTTTTGTTTTGATAACCTTGTTTTTGACATGTTGCTTCCTTTTTAACCGTAGGATCTCCAAGTTCTCGTAGTTAGAAAAATGTGGTCCTTACCTCAATCAATTTTAGTAATTTTTTTAACAATAGGTTCTTGATACCAACTTGTTTAGCTGGTTCTGAATCACCCAGTGATCAGGATTCCGAGTTTGGTATTTTGAGAAACCTATGAAAATGACTAAGATATCAATTATATATCTCCCTATATCTAGTTGAACACTTCACGCATTCTTTTTTTATTTGCACAATGTTTTTTCTTATCATATATAGAGATAGACTCTAATTAGGCCAACTTTGTAGTTTTCTTCGGTTTCCACACAACGAGATAGCACTGCTACTGTTCAATACCCAAGATGTGCGCTTGTTGTGAAGAAAAGAAGAATAATAGAGAAAGTATATTAGATTAGACAGAACATCACCATTATACGGTACAAACTCTAGTACCAATATTATAAGATAAAGTGTGAGTGAGTGTTGAGGCATCAACATGTATCAACCCTCAGATTAGAGTAGGAGAAGCTTGTGATGAGATTCATATGGAAGTTTAACCGTGTTTGGTTTAATAATGGTGAAGGATTTCTCACTTATCTAACTTAACACCCTCTTTTAGATTTTGGTGTGTGACTTATGGGAATGGATGCTCTCGACCAGGATGGTAACTACAGATCAACTCTACGATTTTGTCAGTGTATAATGGAATAGATATGTCTGGTGTCAAATTTAGATCCCATAAGATGTGTACATGACTGTTGGTTGAGAATCTTGCAAGACAAAGTTTAGTGTAACTTAACTAGATATCTTACAAAACTATGCATCCCCCAAAGTAGCTCTCAGGTCTGACTTTTACCCAGAAACTTAGGTTGGTTGGTTTACTCTATTATTGGTTGGGTCAGTATTCCTAGGGCAGAGTAGATTTCGTTATCGTTGTCGGGAAGGATCATATGACATATTATTTACTATCCCGATGAGTCATGTGTGTTGATTGATTTTGAGTTATATGGGTAGTTTATAAAGTGGGTCGTGTCAAGTGGATAGATTATTTATTGTTCACAAACTTTGTACATTTTTCAGTGGTACGCATACAGATGATGAGGTCTGGTTTTGTAAATGCATCTTCTGTAGACTAGACACTGATTCGTTGCATAAACCTTAGCATTCATTACCGGGAAACCATTGGTTCTGTCTAGTGACTTTTTTTGGTTCTGTGTAGTGATTATGACACATAAGAATATGACTAGCACTTATCAAGCTTTGGTTATAGATGATTTTAGTGTGTTCGGATAAGAATGCATAATTCACATCCCACCGTAAAAGATAACTTTGCCAAAAGAAATTTGTTGAAACTCATGAGATGTTACTGAAAAGTTAGATATATTCTCTCTGTGTACACTTTGTGCTACAGGCAAGAAAGAAAGACATAAAAAAAAGTAGAAGTATCCTATGTTTTCTTCTCTTTTGAGAAACCAATCTATGGCTTAAGACATGAATTTTGCTCAAAGTATTAAAATCTCCTATCTAAGTACTGACAAATTCTAAATTGATGACCTTTCTTAGCATTTAGCTACTATCTCTAAGAGTGTTTACTCTTCCTTCAGGTTCTAGAGGAGTAATCCTGACAATTACGCTCTCCATGGGTGCTGCCGCAGTAGAATCAGCTTGGTTGAAGTCACCTAAGATCTTTTGGCATGTCTCAACCAGACAGTGTCGGCATTTCGGACATGTCATGTGATGTTGAAGCCACTTGTCTATGCAACGAACATGGAACCCGTGGTTGCACTTGGGGAGCAGCCTGAGCTGTTCACCGGAAACAAAATCCGACAAACAAATGACACACTCTTCACCAATCCCCGGCAGGTTCATCTCAGGTGAGTAACTCACAACTGGAAACATCTTAAGAGCTTTCTTCTTGATTCCTTTGTTTGATGAACCTCGTGGTGTTGAAAGACTAGAGATAGGCTCGGAGATCATGAAACTTGAAGAACGTTTGAATGCACAACGAATGATGTAATGTAACCCAAGGCAACAGATGATGCCACAGATGAGGACTGAGAGAAGCATCAGAACATTTACTCTGAGATTGTTCTCATTGGTCATGAGAGGAGATGGTGCAGCCGCTAAGTCTCGTTGAGAGTTTTGGTCAAATGGGTTGTGCAGAAGAAGCTTTCTAGAGACAAAACCGCCAAGGAATTGTTGTTGGAAGGACTGAGCTGAAGAAGGTAACTCATTTGCAGACATTTTTTACTCTTGAAAAACGCTTTAAGTCAGAATTTCCTCTCTCTCCTTTGCTTGGCTTTTTTTGGTTATTGCTTCTTAAATTTTTGCGGAATTCAATGTGGTCTTATATATACCTTGAGATGCTTACTGATTACTTAGTGGAGACTGAGAATTATATAATTGGACACTAATAATTTTGTTTTAAAAAGTGGTCTTTCTTCTTTTTTCAAATGAGAGTTGAGAGTATTTGGGACCCAGAAAGAGCTTATCCAATTCCCTTAATCCTTGAGTGCTGATTGTGTCGTTGGCCCAGACCACCTCCAACCACAAGATGCTTGTGTAGGGAAATTGGTTTTTAAATAAGTTCTTTTGGTGTCACTTTATGTTAAAAAAAAACTCTGTTTATCAGTTTGTCTTGTATTGATTATTGATATCTGATGAGATGGATTTCACTTTATATTCATTATAATATGTTTTTTAAGTTTGCCATTCATTCTTTTTTTATACTACCAAGTAGCTACATGTCTTCATATAAATGGTTCTGTTGAGGTGAAAATAACGCTACTTGGTGAGAAATGAGAATAGTCAAGTAAGAGTTTTTCTGTGGATGCTTTCATGACGTAGTGGTAGGAAGATTACACTTTGGCTAGAAAGTTAAAATACTGAAACAAAGAGCTTCAGTCCTGTGTTTTCAATCATATATGTATCATTATTGACTTTCTTTGGTTGAACAATTATTTAATCATTCATTCTCCAATCTTTTAATGAACTTTTAAGTAAATATCTATTTGTTCATCATTCCTACTAAATATCTCTTTGTTTTTGTGTTTCTGTTATGTTTTGACAATGTAGGGAATTTCATTTTGAGGATGAATAGGCACAGCCTTTTGTGTACAGTCCTTTTGCTTTCTAACGGTATGTTGCCAAACTTTCTCTATTTGAATTATTAGCTACTACATGTATTATATTAGAAAAAAGTGTAGACATGAATCTTATCATATTGATTGAGGTCTTTAGATCAACAAGTGGCCAGAATTTTCTTAAAGCACTTAAATGGTATTTCTATACATTATCTTCCAAAGCTATCATTATCCTCTAGTGCTTGTGTATTTACACTGTCCTACTTTTAACTCTGTCAATAGTAGAGAAAATAGTTCTCACCCAGCAAAAGAACATTATCATAATTGCAATGGGAATGTAACTTTTCCTATAATGATTTGGTAACTGCATTGATCCCTTATGGTTGTTCCAGTAGTAGATTCATGGCAAATTTCTAGAAAGCCCTCAGTTATTGAGAGAGTTATACTGTTTCAGGCTATAAGCTGTTTTGGTAAGGGCATTACTTAAGCTAGATTTGCAATTTATCACGGATAAAAGTTGCACTTAAAAGTTACTTTGTAGTAGTTTTTACACTCTCAATGGTATATTATTGGATATGATCGGATATCCCACAGATGCTTAATGCAGATATGCTACCTGTTAACCACAGTCTTCTGTTATTAACCAATAACCCTTTCTTTTTGTGCACGGCCTCACTCACTATTAAATTCCCATTTCTTTTAAGCCGGGATTTGCTTATTAAATTGAACTTTCCTACACTTTATTTTGTCTCTAATCCAATCAGAAATGCCTAGGATCTTAAGTCTTATTTGAACCATCATTATTTATGGCATGTCTTTTGTTTTGATAACCTTGTATATGACATGTCTTTTGTTTTGATAACCTTGTTTATGACATGTTGCTCCCTTTTAAATTACAGGATCTCCAAAATCTCGTAGTTATAACTTGTGGTCCTTAACTAGATCAAGTTATTAGTAGTTTTTTTTTTTTACAATGGGTTGTGGATTCCAGCTTGTCTGATGTCACTCATATCAGGATTCGGACTCTGATATCTTGAGAATCTATGAAAATAACTATGATATCTAGCTATATATCTAGTTGATCACTCCATGTGTTATCTTATATTTGCACGATTTTTTTTTTTTTTTATCACAGAGAGTCAAAGTGGCCAAGTTTCTAGTTCTGTTTCTCTTTTCATATCTGAATCATTAGGCTTAGCCTTTTCTTGGTTCATTTTATCATGACAACATCTTGCACTAGGTAGTGTATGCATGATGAGCGCCTGTTGGGGAGAAAAGACAGAAAAGTAATAGATTTTGAGTATACTAAATCTAGTCGGAAGGTGAGTATATGATAAATGATAGGGTGAGTATATTTTGAGGTATCAACTGTCGGAGTAGAGCAAGAGACACTTGTGATGACAATAATTGGATGCTTCTCCTCATTCAGATTTTTTGTATGTGACCTGTGGGTATACCTATCTACTACAGAACAACTCTAAATTTTCGATAATATATCGTGGCATAGGTTGTCTTGTGTCAAGGCTATTCCCATAGGATAGTAGGTTTATCACTTGACTGGCAGTTAAGAACCTTACAAGATGATGCATCCCCCAAACTAGCTTTAGTTCTGAATTTTACCTATAAACTAAGATCAGTTGGCTTATCTTATTGTGGGTTGGGTCCATATCAGTATATCACTTTCCTCTGGCAATGATAGTTTTTCTTTATCATTACGATGAAGAATCGTCTGGTATAGGCTATCTTGATGACTCATTTGTGAATTGGTGTTTTTAGGCATATAGGTAGTATTTAAGTGGGTCGAGTCAAGTTGATAGATGCATTGTTTCTTCACTAACTTTATGCATTTCTAACTATCAAGCATACACGTGACCAGGTCTGCACCGTATATGCATCATGTAGACAAAACACTACTACACAAAAACCTTGGCATTCATTACCAGAAACCATTTATTCTGTCTACTGACTCTTTGATTCTGTGTAGTGACTGTGTCACATAAGCATACATGAACTAGCACTTATCAGTCTTTGGTTGTAGATGATTCTTAATGTTTTTGGATAAAAAAGACTAATTCACATTTCACCGTTAAACATGTATTTGCAAAAAGAACTTTGATGAACTCGTGAGATATATTCTCTCTGTATACACTTTTGTGATACAGGCAAAAACGAAAGACAAAAAAAAATGAGTTATTTGTTTTTCTCAAGTGGCTAAAGGCATGAATTGTGCTCAAAATCAAAAAAAATCTTCTACCTAACTAAAAAGCACAAATTCTGATAACTTTTGATGGTTTCTGCCTCTCTTGCCATCTAGCTGCTTTCTCTTAAAGTATTTACTCTTCCTTCAGGTTCTAGAGGAGCAATTCTGATAATTATGCTCTCTGTTGGTGCTGCTGCCACTTGATTAACTTGACTGAAGTCACCTAAGATCTTTTGGCATGTCTCAACCAGACAGTGTCTGCATTTGGGGCAAGTCAAATGTTGTTGAAGCCACTTGTCAATGCAACGAACATGGAACCCATGGTGGCACTTAGGGAGCATCCTAATCTGTTCACCGGAAACAAAATCTGACAAACAAATGACACACTCTTCGCCGAGCCCTGGTAAGTTCATCTCCTGTGAGTAACTCACAACTGGGAACATCCTAAGAGCTTTCTTACTGATTCCTTTCTCTGATGAACCTCGTGGTGTTGAAAGACCAGAGATAGGATCGGAGATCATGAAACTTGAAGTACGTCTGAATGCACAACGAATGATGTAATGTAACCCGAGGCAACAGATGATGCCGCAGATGAGGACAGAGAGAAGCATCAGGACATTCCCACTGAGGTTTTTCTCATGGGAATTGAGAGCAGATGGTGCAACCGCAAAGGATCGTTGAGTGTTGTGGTCAAATGGGTTGTGCAGAAGCAGCTTTCTAGAGACAAAACCGCCAAAGGATTGCTCTTGGATGAAGGCTTGAGCTGAAGAAGAAGGTAACTCATTTGCAGACATATTTTACTCTTTGATTAGCTTTGGAACAAAGTCTCTTCTTTATGCTTTGCTTAGCTTTGTTAGGTTCTTTGCTTCTTAAAGTCTTGGGGAATTCAGTGTGGGTCTTATATACAGCTTGAGATGCTTACTGATCATCACTGAGTGGGGAGTGAGAATTTAATAATGGGAGTCTAATAATTCTTGTTCAAGAAAGTGAGTTTCTTGAGAAGAATTTGGGGACCCATAAAGAGCTTATCCAATTTTGATAAATCTTTGAGTGCTAAGTGTGACATTTGGCCATACCTCTCCAACCACAAGATGCTTGTGTAGGGACTCTTTCACTTTTCCAACATTGTATTTTTTTATATATATAAAAAAACACTACTTTTTGTCTCACTTTAAATTGGAAAATTTTTGTTTTATAATGTTAGCCTTGTGTTGATTCTTGATAAGTTGGATGGATTTTATTTTATCTCCATTATTCAATGTTTTATAAGTTTAGTTTACTTTTGGGTATTTGTTTTATTATGTCAAGGGGGAGATTTTGTTGTATCTCTTCTTCACAGTTTTAATGCTTTGCCGACAATATGTGGTGTTGTAAAGCAGTCTTTGTGCTTTAGCATTCATCTTTTTTTTTTGGTTCTTTCCATGTGTATATGTTTTGCTTGCTTATGTAATTCACTTTACCTTTAAAACGTATCAATTGTTAGATCAAATTTGTTTAGTTTACCTTTCTATCTACTAACAAAAATATAGAACGTGTGTTTTTTTTTTATCGTCTTTCGATTTATTAATTATTGCAAATATAAAACATGTTTAGAAGATAATTTTTAAATAAAATAACAATAGATACATATATCAAAATCATATCTATAAGATGTTACATAAAACTTATCAAAATTTAAAGTTCTATTGTTAATTTATGAAATTGTATCTTAAGTGAAGACCAAGAAACTGAAGTTACTTAAAGAACATGTTGTAATTTCATTGAGAATCAAGCCTTGTAAATGAACATGAACGTTGCAATCTTGTTATGTTTTCTTGGTTTTTTTTCTTAGTATACGATCTAACTTTCCTAGATTTTATTGGATTTATGAGATGTAACTATCAAGATCATAAGATATTTGTTGTGGCTTTTTCCGATATGTTTACTAAACTAATCTCTAGGTAATATATGGAAGATCTATTTTTCAAAATTTGATATTTCCGAATCATCTAAATGTCTGCATATAAATGGTTCTGTTGTTTCTTTATATGTTCCTTTTTTCTTGGTCGGCGTTTGTTTATATGTACAAACACTATATTATACGTCTGGATTTGAACTTTGTCGCTTTCTTCTCCTAAATCTCCACAACCTTAACAGTTATCACTAATTTAAAGTCCCATGTTTCTTAGTTTTCTAATGTTACTTTCTTTATATTTCATGATCGTTTTATACAATATGAAATTCATGGATTTTTTTCTTTTTTTTTTTCATACCATGAGTTTTATATGATAAAGAAGTTCTTAGAAATTATTTATAAGTTCCAATCCAGCTTAGAGTTAAATCTTGCTATAAGCAATTGAAAATACTAAATCTTTCACTAAAAATGATCATATATTGCTATATATGTCAAGTTAAGAGTGAAACTATTTGGAAATAGTTGAACAATGGGACATAATAAGGACTTATAGTTTGGTTTAATTTCGATCGTATTGTAGCGAAATTTGGAATAAATCATTTTAGTATACGGATACATTTTTGGGTGAAAAGGGTGAAAAGTTATATTTAAAATGCATATATATGATCATTTAGTGGAGGTCGGAATAATGCATTTCACTTTTAACCAAGATTATATTTGTCACTCACCAAATTTTTGATTACAAAGAAAAAAATATACATACGCTTTTTTCCAATTTAAAAACTAATTAATAGATGGAGATGATTAATTTGATTAAAAGACTTGGAGTTAGTGTTAGCGAAATTTGTGGACAATAATTAGCCTACCAAAAGAGAACAAGTATGGGATCCTTTGTTCTTTTTTTAACTCTCCTTTGTACTTTTTTTTAGTTGCACTTTTACATAATTTAATTAGTGATAATGTAGTAAAGCCAGAAGATATAATTAATTTATGTGTTGATGCATGCGCCGTGACAAGCTAAATCCTCGTATTTATTTACTTTTAACTCCATCGTTGAATAGAATCGTCGTATAGATTTTGCATCCCACATAACCACATGTTTTCATAGTCATTCATACACATATATATAAGTAACTTCTTAGATCAACTTGTTGGAAAAATACTCTCAAAAGAACAAGACCACATACTTAGAATAGTAGTACTTGTTGTCCTTGTTTTATCTTATCAGAATATGATTTTTTTTTTGCTTTGTAATATAATGTGGTGTTACCAACTGAAATTTATTTTCTTTTGCAAACAAGAACACTAGTCTACTTCTCTCATGCATTTGCTCAAGCATACTCAGAAGATCACACAAATGATATTTATATATAATGAAACAAGAGTTTTGATTCTCTAATTTTGTCGGGATTTGATCCTATATATAATGCCACTATACCTTTTTCTATTGAGTTTTCACGGTGATCGGCCATGTACACTACTACTACATTTTCATATAAAACATTTGTATAAATCTCTCCACTTTTCTTTAATTAGGCACTTTGTAGTAAAGGACATCATGATAATGATTTATATAACATAAGTGAAAGGTTTTGTGGTGAGAAAAATTATGTTCTTTTTCTAATATCTTTCTCACCACAAAATTATATATTCATTACCATGTCCTTTTTATTGTTATGGATATGATGAGTTCTTGTTTTTAACTAACTTTATTTTCTTGTCCTATAATTAAGATAAACTTTCATATATTAAAAATAGAACTTTAATTTCAAAAGTTGTGTGTAAGATCGTATGAATATATAGTCATACTTAATTAAGGTTTTCCTATCTTATATAAAACAATATTGCTTAACGGCAAACTTAAGAAGACGATGTAAGTCATGCACTCTTAATTAGAGTCCTCTCCTGTTCTGCAATTTGAGCACTATCAAGTATCAATGAACTAGCTTTCAAAACTAGCTTGTCAAGGTAGACTACTTAATTAACTATCGATTTATTCGAATGTAGATTAGTACTTAGTTTAGAGACAGATAAAGAAAAATGAATTACATATGATATACTATCTCTCGTAGAGCGTGAGAGTCCATTTGTTTTGGAGCCCAAGATGCCAAGAAATTATGAATCAATTATGCCATTTTCCTGAGCAATTTTTGGATTTGCCATTTTTTGTAAAAATTTATGGATTTTGCCATTTTTCAGGTCATAAAAATACGACTAAACATACGTTTTACTCGTTATATCTGGATTTAGTCGGTTATATTTGTTCTTAGGGTTTAGTATTTACTAATAAGTATAAGATGAACATTTTAAATGTTCAAAATGGAAAATTTATAAGATTTTAGCAAAAAGGCAAATTCGTAAAAATTACTTTAGAAAATGACATTTTGTCGTAAGACTCCTAGAACTTAAAGAGGAAAACAATCCTATCAAACTTTGTTTTTGATGTTTTAATTTTCCAAACATAATGTAAGAGACTATATACTCTCTACTTTTATGAAGCACTGAAGCACATATCCTCTCTAAGGAGTTATTTCAAATTTATTTCACTCAAAACATTTCCCCCCAAAAACACAACGGGAATATTATATAATTAAAAGCCATTTTTGCATAGGCATTTTTCAAATTTGCCTTTGTTTTTCAATATTCTTTGAAATTTTCCATTGTTGCCATTTTAAAAAACTAAACATTTATTGGAATATTCTTTTCCATGAAACACATACTTTGTAACAAATCTATATCCTAAAAAAAATTTGAACATAATAAACCCAAGTATCATGTATATAGAAGAAAATGGCAAATTCGAAAGTTTTTTTTTGATAAATTGGCAAAACTTATAAACATCCATCAAATAAGGGTGTAGCTCGTAATTGATCCAAATTTTATATGCTATGAAAAAATATACTGAAGCAAAATATATTAAGTAGGATAGGTATTGTTGAAACAAATACATTCATGTGTTTTGCTAGTGTTGGATTTTAGTGTTCCTCGATATCATCCAACTCCACATTTGTGGAAGCTACATTTTCAAGGAAGAAGAAGGAAACATATATACGCCTGAATTATATACGATTGTGCCTCCGCTAGGATTCAAAAAAGTTGTCAATGCAAAACTTAGTTATATGCCATTTTCATATTTATGGCTGGCATTCACTTAGATATATATATATGTTGCTACCTACAACAGACCCAAAGATCAAAGTCAAGGCTAGCTCTTATTAACCAACAACATGGACAGTGGGATGAAGAACAACTACAACGTTTCATAGATCGGAGTGAAACGTGATTCCTATATGGAGGGCTGCAGGTCGAAACCGGATGGATAAAATGCAACTATGATACCTCACATTTTGAAGGCAATACTAATTCTGGTCTAAGTTGGATAATACGAACACTCACATGGGTTCGTATATGATCCAACAGTAGCACAGGTCATCACCTAGTAGTATAAAGGAAAACAAATCTAGTCCTTTTTAAAAGTAAGATAACCTTTCCATAAACAAAAACAACTTAAGACAAGGATGACATGTGTAAATTATGGCCAATGTTATTGGTTTACTGAGATTTGCATAATATCCACACAAATTAAAAATATTTGTAATGAGTTGGATATATCAATTAAAAAGAAATGATATATAGAGAGTAAAATATCTAGTGACTAAACAAGGGAAGTCACAATATTACTCTCTCAAAACATCCAAAATACAAATTCCCAATAAAATAAATAATCTCCCTACATAGACAGGATAACAAGGAGACAGGATAATAAGGATGTCTTAAAAGAAAAAAAAAAAACGAGAGCCTTAAAGGATAAAGAAGGCCACATCGCATGATTGATGAAAATGTTGTAGCCCTTGGCTCGAACGAACTGGATCTCACATATATGGGAAACTTGGATAAGTGAGTCCAAGATCCGGTGCAAAGATGTCAGAGGCTTGTCCAGGTTCTTCATTGCTCATCCCGTAATTAAACTGAGGAGATGGCTGATACTGCTGCTGTTGAGGCTGGTGGATTTCATGGTCAAGATTGGGAAAATGAGACACAGCATTGGTTATGAACGGGTTCGTGTTCATCGTCATGTAGCCATCTTGAAACTGGTTCTGCTCGTTCTCCTGGTACTGCTGGTTCTGCTGGTACTGCTGGTTCGGGTTCACTGCTCCCTTCTGAAACTGGTTCTGCTGGTTCGGGTTCACTGCTCCCTTTTGAAGCTGGTTCTGCTGGATCGGGTTCACTGCTCGCTTTTGGTATTGATTCCACTGGATCGGGTTCACGGGCCCTGGACCATTCATAAGGTATGGTGATATGGCTGCGTTGACGTTGTTTGCACCTTGGAAAGATTGAGGAAGCGCTGCAGCTCCATACGCAGTGGACCAACCAGTCTCTTTCTTCTGTTGATTGATTTGGTTCTCTTCAAGATAGATACGGTGTTTCTGCACAACAATGGTGGAACTTGTATTATCGGTATGTGAATAAAACCCTAGTTCAATGTTTTGCTTGTCATGAAAGAAACAAATTAAATATTGAATTTATTTTGTTCTTTACCTGAAGATGACTAGACAAATTGTTTCTTGTGAGTCCTTTGATATTCATTCCTCGCAAGCAGTCGAGAAGTACCTTTGGATTAGCTTCTGCGTTTGATACAAAACACGATTAGTTAGAACAAAACATTACAATCAACAAGAGATTAAAAGACTTAGAGATCAAGAAAAAGTTTGATATACTTACTGTTAATTCCCCCAACCATGTCGATGGCTTCAAGAAATTTCTGGTGAAGATCTTCGGTCCATATCATCCGCTGTCTCCTCTTCTTTCTCTCCACTCTCCTTGTGGTGTTTCGTACGCTGTTACCATTGTTGAAACCATCGGTCTGAACAAGATCTGTCGGAGCATATTGGATTTCTTCAGCATCCCATAGCACACGCGGTTTCTTGGCTGCCTGCTCATCATTCTTGGCAACACTTTGCTGGCCATTACCTTGGTTTATGGTCTGGGAGTAGTCGTTGTGTTGGTATAAGTACTCGTTCATCTGAACCAGATCTGGTTGAAATGGTTGCATTTCTCCATTCCATGTCATACCTGGTATCGTAGCCGCTCTCTCGATGTTTTCTTGGCCAATAGATCGGCGGCATATGGTTTTGAAATACTCGGTGCGTTGGTCGACGACATTGATCTGAACCAGATCTGATTGAACTGGTTGGGTTTCTCCATTCCATGTTATACCTGGTCTCGTAGCTGCTCTCTCGATGTTTTGTTGGTCATTACCTTGGTTGATGGTTTTGAAATACTCGTTGTGTTGGTCTACGACATTGATCTCATGAACCAGATCTGATTGAACCGGTTGGATTTCTCCGGACCATTCTCTTATTGCAGCTCTCTCTTCTGTCTGATAGATGTTTTGATATTGCTCTACGAACATGGAACCAACTTGACCTTGGTTGAAACCATAAGACTGAGCCAGATCTGACTGAACTGGTGGAGTTATGTTGGGTTTAGACATCACCTTCTTGCGGACAATGTGTTGCCATATGTTGGCTAACACATCTTCTCCAACCGGTTTCATAACATAGTCACAAGCACCATGGAGTGTTGCTTTCATCACCGATTCTGTTTGGTTATCATCAGACATAACTACACAAAGACCAAACAGATATTGTTAATTTCAATATAATAAAGACAGATTTGAAGTAAAAAGGTAGCTTGCGAGTTACATACTCATCACAGGCAAATCCATCTTTGAAGCAATGCTCTTGAGAGCTTGAAGTCCATTAATTCCAGGCATATGATATTCCCAAATCACAATGTTGATGTCATGTTTGCAGCTCGTCAAGAACGAAAGAGCTTTCTCCGCATCCTGCTCAATCGTCACTAAAACACCACAAAGAAAAAGAAAAAAAAGTTATAAAGCCCTAACCCTAACCCTAGCAACTCTCCAAAGTCCAAACCGATAAAAACTAGAGAGAGAGAGAGAGAAACCTTCATAGCCAATTCGTTTGATGAGGTTTCTCATATAGATTAAAGCGGCGAGATTGGAGTCAACAATAAGAAGATTAGTACTGGCCGGAAACTGGTTGAGGAGAAGAGAAGTGAATTCAGAAGTATAAACTTCATCTCTACTTCTATTTCCCACCAACATTGATATAGATTTTTTAGAGATTGATATTATTAAGTGAGAGGTTTTTATTTGTATGGATTGAAGCTGTTTATATCTTATTACAACAAGTATGGATGCCTTTTATAATACAGAAAGTGATAGATCTTATCTACAAGTTTTGACAAGTGTCCAATTACACTGATGGTAATTATTTTACTTTTTTACAGGTGGATCATTTTATGTAATTACAATTGTAATAGTCATTTTTTGAGAAAAATACAAACAAAAAAAGGAAATAGTTTTAGCAAAAAAGGATACAACCAGTTGGCGAGCCAGCTTTTCAAATTTATTAAAAAAAAAGAAAAACAATATATATATGATTTTTATGCTATATATTTCTTTTCTTAATTAATTGTATATCACATAGTAAATATAAGAAAAAGATATTAACCAAATTAAGAGAAATTTTACATTAAATAATTAACACTACAAAATTGCTAAGTGACTTAATTGTGGGGGTGGAAATTAACTCTCACATATGAGTATGACTGTATATGACCATTTTAAAAATATATCTTTCCACAAATGAGCTAAAGAGATATTGCAGAGCCAGGCTGTTTTAATTTCACTTGGCTATCACTCTATGAGACTAACACTACAACGACGACGACAGAGCAAAATCACTTGTGGTGAAGTGAAGACCATCATCAGAGTTAAAAAAAATTGATACAAATTCAATATAGAGACTTGTATATAGCTAAATAATTTTTATAGCATGGGTGCACCATTATAATATATTGATCAGACTTATCGTATGTATTTTTACTTCTATTGAATTTAATATACTATGTTCTATACGACTATAACTTAACTATTAAGATGGTAATGATATCTAGTATTTTCTTATAACTATGCTGCATTTGTGGATTTTTTATGTATGTATAACATGTTTTTTTTTTTGTCCAAAGAAGATTCATATGGCTGTAGAATGCATATCATGTAATTCATGTATTGAAATGAAAGTATACCTTACCACTTCGTATAGTTACTTTCAAACAAATGTACACCATTGATAAAGAATGAGGTCTGGCAAAAAAAAAAAAGGTTAGTTTTTGGGCTCGCAAAAGAAAATAAGAATATGTTTCTAGTTTATTTTCTGAAACACAAAAAGTAATATATAACAAATCATAGAAATTGGCGTAAATTAGTGTAGGGAGAATTCATCATTTTAGAACGATTAACAAGAGGGCCAATAAAATTTTATCTATAATAGAACAATACTCCTTCAGCTTTATAGTATAAAACTTTTTTTTGTTTCATATTATAAGATGTTTTGCAAAAAAAAAAATTTGAGCAAAGATGTTTTCCAAATTTAAATATGCGTATTTTTACCTTAAACTTTTTTATAATTTGATAACGGAGAAAGTAATTTTATAAAAAAAGAAAAAGGAAAAACTAGTTAAAAGAAGGAAAGAATTTTGAAAACAGGAAAACTTGTCAAACACGTAAAACTAGGTTGCATAAAATTAAAAGCGGGTATGTGAAAGTGATTTTTATATAAAAAAAATAAAAAGAGTAAAAACGGATACTTTTATGTAAATAATAAATATATACGTAATGGAATAAATTATTTTTGAACTTAATTTATTATAGAGAAAGAAGATAGAAATAATGACAGGAGAATCCGTAAAATCCAAAATAACTAACCATATTTACTAGCTAACTGAGCTATCAATCGAAGAATGAATTTTGGATTTTTAACCACTTTTACCAAAAAAAAACTTGTCCGGACTTCAATATTCTCAAAGTGTTATTCAAATTGCCACAAATTTACTTTTTGCTACCGAGCAAATGACGATTTTGGCTCATTAATTTGGCGGGTAAATAAGTGTGTTGATGCTATGCTTTTTTCCCTTTAGGATGTGGCAGCTGAATCGATCTGATGGAAATTAAATTGTTGTTGGGGGTGGTGGACACAAAACCAAGATTTCCTACACGAGAAACAAAGCATTAGTAGGAAGATATAATACTAAAAACATAAAGAAACGTAACTTTAGTAAAAAGAAGAAACGAATTCGATGATCGGCGATTCTCATCTGGCTTCCCGTTTTTTTCCTGCTTTAATGTATTGTTTTCAATTCGTTAGATTTATGATTTTTTGGCATTCAGTTGGGGATTCTCGCTCGTTTAATATGGGTTTGAAGCTGTGTTATCTTAGGAAGTGGTAAAACATATCATATATGTTTGGTTATGAATTATGTGAAGAGGTTGGTGTCGGATCTAATAGATCTACGATATGCTTATAATAAAGTCATTATCTTTGTTGTCTTTGACCCAAATTTGGTTGTCGTTTCTGTGCTCTTCGTTGTTACAATTCCGCCGACATAGCTGGAGTGTGGTCTCTTGTTAGCCTCCATCCAACTTTCGTCTCTTTGCTCACTACTTTTGGCTTGCTTTATCGATTTTTTTCCCATTTGGATCGTCTCCCTACTAAGCAGAGGCTTCTTTGTGTAAAGATAATACTAAGTTTTCAGGTTGTTTTCTCTTTGGTGGAGGTGGAGGTCGTTGTGGTTGGTAACCTTTTTGGTCGAGTGTCTGTGGATGTTCATCAAGTTGGAACGCTTCTATAAGGTTTTTATCTAGGCGTTCCTTAACGCACAATCGTCCATGCCACATATGGATGTGTTATATAAAGTTTAGTTTTTGGCCTTTACTTGTCGGGTTGCTAAGCCTTTGTCACTTGGTTTCGAGAGTTTGTCTCTCATCATAATAGAAGGAAGCTGATGTTATCGCTGGATTGGCCGTGGGCGTCCTCGGTAAATCTCATTCAAAGATATCTCATAAAGAAAAAGTCGATTTGTTTGTTGGTGCTTGTGTTTTGTCTTCGAGATTTAATCAGGTTGCCTTTAGTTTTAGTTTATGGTCTCGATCTCTTTCGAATTTGGATGTAAAGTAAGTGTTAATGTTTCCCTTTTTAGGACTTAGCTTTCAAGAAAATCTCATTTTCTTTCGACTTAGATTCTAGAAAAATCTTCTTTTTCTCTGACTTAGTTTCCGGAGACAGTGATCCGTTGGCTGAGATACTAAGTAATATAATACTTTAGTAAACACAAAACGACGTCGGAACACAAACATGATCCGTTTACGAAAAAGCTAACACAAGAGGATCTAAACAAACCCTTTCTCACTACAAAAAATTTTGAAAAAAACGATGGAGCCTGTCGTGATGATTGATGAATACAAAGCTAAATCGAAGCTCAGCGAGAGTTTAACATCTACAGTTTGGTTAGCAAATCACAGGTTAACCGGAGAAGAAGCAGTGATGAAGTGTTTCGATCTCTCTAAGCTCAATCGCAATCTCCGAAACTGTTTGAACAACGAGCTCGAGTTTTTATCTTCCGTTCATCATCCCAATATCATCCGTCTCCTCCAATTTTTTCAAGTACGATTCCAACACACGAATTAGTGTTACTCTCTAGATTCCAAATTTTTTTCGAATTTTGTGTGTATTTTAGGATGAAGATTTTCTCGTTATGGTTTTGGAGTATTGTGATGGTGGAACTCTATCATCGTATATTCAACGTCATGGGAGAGTAGAAGAAGATGTAGCTAAGAGGTTTATGAAGCAAATTGGTATCTAACTGTTTTGTTACAGGATCATGATATTACTGTATTTGCTTCTTTGTGGACTTAATAGATTCATATCAATGTTTTTGATGTAGGAGCTGGTTTGGAAATCATTCATGATAATCACATTATTCATAGGGACTTGAAACCTGAGGTAATGTTTTAGATTCATTTATAATTTTGGATTTGAGTTTGATTTGTTGAACTGTGATTTACAAGGTTTTGAATTGGAAACAGAACATTTTACTTGTTGGATCTGGTGATGAATTGGTGTTGAAGATAGCTGATTTTAGTCTTGCAAGGTAGAATTTTTAATGTTTTTTGAGGAGAGAACTATGCTTTTATGGAAGTGTTTTATAGCATTTGATATGTTTCATGGTAAAAGCAGAAAACTAGTTCCAGGCAAGTATCTTGAGACAGTGTGTGGTTCTCCGTTTTATATGGCTCCTGAAGTTCTTCAGTTTCAAAGATACAATGAAAAGGTGTGACATTGTTTTATGACAGTATTATGATTCCATTGAATGGTTTTGCAGTGGAAAATTCACTTTAGAAAAACATTTGCAGGCTGATATGTGGAGTGTAGGAGCAATCCTTTTCGAGATGCTTCACGGGTATCCACCTTTCCGCGGTAATAACAATGTTCAGGTGAGATTTTGAATTAGTTATTAGTAGCATTCTTTGATCCAAAAAGCTCCCATGCCATTTAACTTATTTTTCTACTAACCATAGGTTCTAAGGAACATCAGATCTAGTACATCTCTTCCCTTCTCTCGGCTGATTCTTCAGCAATTGCATCCAGATTGCATCGACGTCTGCTCAAGGTTGCTTTCTATTAATCCAGGTACATAAAGATCTCATACATTTGCAGGTTCACCGTGTCTCCGCATCGCTATTATATATTCATTCAGTCCTTATAGTTACTGTTTTCTGCAGTTAAGCGTCTCTCTTTCGACGAATTCTACAAGCACAAGTTCTTACAGATTTGATTGTCTCTCCCTGAGGTACTTGTAAAGAGTCGGTCAAATTTTCTTGAATCCTTGTGTAGAAATAGAACCCTTGTGATCGATATCTCAGCCACTAGTGTCTATAAGAATCTTTTGTACATAGCGTTCAAGACTCTCCTTTTATATATAGTCAAATCCAAAACCCAAAGGGCCTAAATCCAAAGCCTACTAAAATATAAACCCAAGACTCTACCGATTAAGAAAAATAAAAAAGATGGCTCCGACGAAGAAAGGAAAGAAGAACAATTCGGCCGGATCAACGACGGCCAAATCCACCGCCGCAGAATCTTCGAGTTTTCCGGCGTGTTTGCGACTACTTACACCTTCCTCCGTCGCCATCACCATCCACGCTAAGCCAGGTTCCAAATCCGCCTCCATCACCGGTATATATCTACTCTTTCGTCACACTTTCATTTATATCGGTTTGATTCTTATATACCGTTTGAGATTTTTCTGAATTTAGTTTCTCTGTTTTGAATCTGGAGATGTGAGCGAGGAAGCGGTGGGCGTTCAGATCGACGCACCGGCAAGAGATGGTGAAGCTAACGCAGCTCTTCTCGAGTACATGAGCTCTGTAAGTTCTCTCTCTCTCCCTCTCTCTTCTCATCTCTTTTTTTGCAGATAAAGTTTTCAACTTTCAGGTTCTTTGAAGGTGTTTGATACTCTGGTTACTCTCATAGTTTGATAACGTGATGTAGAATTGTCTCTCTGTAATGTTTTTGATGGTATGATTAAGATTTCTCCTTCCTTCTTCTATAGGATATGAGCAATGTGTATAGTATATCTCACATTCTCGTTGAGCCATTAGTCATATTACTGCACTTGTGAGCTTTCATAGAGAAAAAAAAAATTATCTTTAACTTTGAAACTACATGTAGTTTAGTTGTTGTCATGATTTAGATTGCAATGGGTATGCACTGAGTTTAGTAGCGAGAATGGTGTGTCTGTTGATTTTGATAGTTAAGAGGTGATGAATCATTCTTATCACATCCTCACTTCTAAAAATGTTATCTTCAACAGGTATTGGGAGTGAAAAAAAGACAGGTCTCACTCGGTTCAGGATCTAAGTCACGAGATAAAGTTGTGATTGTGGAAGATATGACACAACAAAGCGTTTTTCAAGCTTTGACCGAAGCATCAAAACCTACCTGAAAAAAATCCCATTCCCAAGCCTGTAACTTTATGGAGGAACTAAAAGCACCAAAAGCTAAATGGGTTCGTGTTCACTTAAGGTACGAATAGTATAAAGAGACCTACAGGATTTGTAAAAGAGATCATAGTTGTATGTTACTGTGAACTATATGCAATGTAAATCTGTAGACTATTGCTTGTTATATAATCAATTTTGTTCCAATTGATCTGAACACCTTTACTATGGATCTAGGATGGTTTCTTTGCGACTTGTTGATCCTTATTTGTCGAGCTTGGATTTATAATGTTTTGAGTCTTTTGGACCAAACCAAGCTCACAAAGATAGTAAACGATGATGGGCCAAAAGAAGATAAAAATAGGCTTATGATCCAATACTTGTAAAACTACTAGATTTGTGCATATACGGGTTTTAAATGTATGAAATGGAATTTGGGTTTAAGTTATGCGACGACGCGTGCCATGCAGAGGTTGAAGTCACTTTCAATGATCGTTGTTGTCTGATCTCATGCTAACGAAAAAGATCACATCTTGCAAAAAAAAGCGAATATTTGTCTGTTCAGATACCGATCAGGTAAACGATGCTTAAAGACACCAAAAGGGATTCAAAAACGTAATCATTGATTTGGTTTCTTTCTTTAAAAACAATTTGAGTATTTCCATGTCACCAACATCCAATGATCAGATGCCATCTGTAAAATACGTCACCTAACACCCGAGCGATCGACTCCAAAACCGAAAACGTATGGTTATGGTGTTATCCTTAAGACTATAGTATATAAGACCAAGAGGCCCAAAATTTATTTTGATTTTTTTAAGAAGTTTATATTAAAATTGCATGAGGAATCGTGGATGATTATTAAAAAAGAGTTACATGGGCTAGGCTTTTTAGGAAGACTTAATTTTTTGGCATTTTTAATTTTGTTTTATATAAATAGTTTGGAGAGATAAATCAGGTGGAACCAAGTTTTGTTGTTTGTGTGTTTTAGATTGAACAACTAAACACAACACTTGTTATAATCATTGGCCCTTCCTTGTCTCTCCCTTTTCTTCTATCGATTTTACAAAATTAGGGTTCTCTAGCTCTTTGGGTTAATTAGGGTTTCTTTTTTCTCGTTTCGAGTTAAGTTGGCTAATAAACTTTAGAACAGAACCAACCTTCATTTTCCATGTAATTTCGAATCTCATGTTCATCTTAATAATATCTGAGTTTTGATGAGAAGTCCCTTTCTACCGAACACATGAACGTCACTGCGTCGTTGCTTATGTTTATGTTTTGCATTTTTTTTTGTTATAGCTTACAACTTTGGTTTTGAAGAAAGCTTAATCATAAAGATATGGAAGGTTCAGAAGATGCTTCTGCTGTCGTAGAACCTCCTGACCCAGAAGTTCTTGAAATCGACCCAACTTGTCGATATATTCGGGTTAGTAATCCAATCACTTTCTTTTGTAAGATGATGTTACAAAATATTAGCTTCCACCATAATAATTTCCTCTGTTTCTCCTTGACCAAATTTATTATATATGTGTAAACCTTTTCAGTACAAAGAAGTAATAGGCAAAGGCGCATCCAAGACAGTGTATCCCTTTTTTCCAATCTCATATCGTGTGATTTGACATCATCATAGTTTTGTTCTTTTTGATGCTATGAGAGAATCTTGAATTTGTCATTTCTTTAACTCTCTTGAACAATATGATCAGTTTTAAGGGATTCGACGAAGTAGATGGGATTGAAGTCGCCTGGAATCAAGTAAAGATTGACGATCTTTTGCAATCACCTGATTGTTTAGAGAGGCTGTATTCCGAAGTGCGGCTTTTGAAATCGCTGAAGCACAAAAACATTATCAGGTTTTATAACTCGTGGATCGATGACAAGAACAAAACGGTTAACATAATTACAGAGTTGTTCACTTCAGGAAGCCTACGACAGTACGTATTTTTACTCATTTTGCTATTTTGTTATAATGGTTTTTGGAGTTGTGACTAAAGCAGTCAAGTTTTGGTTTTCTTAAAGGTACCGTAAGAAACATAGAAAGGTGAATATGAAGGCTGTCAAGTGTTGGGCGAGGCAGATTTTAACCGGGTTGAAATATCTACATAGTCAAGATCCTCCGATTATACACCGAGATATCAAATGTGACAACATTTTTATCAATGGTAACCATGGAGAAGTGAAAATAGGAGATCTTGGTTTAGCTACTGTCATGGAACAAGCTAATGCCAAGAGTGTGATTGGTATGTAACACAAATTTCATCCTATTTCTTTGTTTTTAAGGATCACATTTAAATTGAAAGTGTTATAACCAACAGGAACACCTGAGTTTATGGCGCCTGAGCTTTATGATGAGAACTACAACGAGCTCGCTGATATATATTCGTTTGGAATGTGTATGTTGGAAATGGTGACTTTTGAATATCCTTATTGTGAATGTAGAAACTCTGCCCAAATCTACAAGAAAGTTTCATCGGTAAGTTCGATATTTGCACATTGTCTCTAATCCGCCATTGATAATTTCTCATACAAACAAAATTTAATCACTTACTATGGTGATTTGTTTTTTCCTTAGGGGATCAAACCAGCTTCACTTTCTAAGGTTAAAGATCCAGAAGTAATGAAATTTATCGAGAAATGTTTATTGCCAGCTTCTGAAAGGTTATCAGCAGAGGAGCTTTTACTGGATTCTTTTCTCAACGTTAATGGTTTAGTTATGAACAATCCATTACCACTGCCCGACATTGTAATGCCCAAAGAAGGATCATTCGGAGAGCGATGTCTTATGTCTGAAGGACCGCCTAATGCTGGGAATAGACCAATGTCAATGAATATCGATGAAGACAGTAACCTTCCTATTGTTATTAGAAGCAACAATTCAGGATCGAAGTGTATTGAGGTTAGAAGGGCAAAGCGAGGAAACTTCTTTGTCCTCAAAGGTGAAGAAAATGATGAAAACTCGGTCTCGCTCATTCTTCGTATAGTCGATGAAAATGGTAAGCGTCTTTAGCCTTATAAATTTTGTGCGTCTTTTGCGTTTATTTGTTACAATAATAGTCAAATGTATATGTTCATTTATAAAAATGTGAAATGCATAGGCAAAAGAGTTGATGTTGAGTTTTTTTTTTTGTGTGTAGGGCGTGTGAGGAACATCCATTTCCTATTCTTTCAAGAAGGTGACACTGCTTCTAATGTTTCAAGTGAGATGGTTGAACAGCTCGAATTGACGGATCAAAACGTAAAGTTTATAGCAGAACTGATTGACGTATTACTCGTCAATTTGATACCGAGTTGGAAAACCGATGTAACGGTTGATCATCTTATTCATCCGAAACAGAACGGTGCAAATCCTCAAGCTGGTGAATCCATTAGTCACTCTTTGTCCGATGACGAGGCAAACCCGACGGTAGCTGCGAAAACAGAAGATCAAGAAGCAGAGAAACCAGGAAGCTTGGAGGAGGAAGAAGAAGAAGAAGATGAGAGGTTAAAAGAGGAGCTAGAAAAGATAGAAGAAAGGTTCAGAGAAGAGATGAAAGAGATAACGAGGAAAAGAGAAGAAGCAACAATGCAGAGCAAAAATAGATTTTTGGAGAAGAAGATGAAACAAGTTGAGTAAAGTAAACAAGAGAGCAAAACACTTTGGTTTTGGATTTCCTCTGTTTTGCTTTTTCTCTTTTCTATTTTTTTTTTATAGTTTGGTCAAAAGAAAAAACTGTTGGTGTTACTTGTTTCATAGCAAGAGTATTTTCTAATGGTAATTGGGATTTACATGATTTTCTAATGCTCTGCATTGTGAGTTGTGAGTATTTCGAACTATGTAATTGTGAATGTATTTTGATTAAAAATAGGTGTCTAATGCTTGAAACGAGGATATTGAATTATAAGAGTTTTTTGTTCTCTAAATCTGAGATTTTGGAACAAGAGTATTCTTCTAAACTTAGTATCTAGCTTTGATTTATCAATTTATATATATCCCTCGGAAATCTCTTAGAACAATGTATGAACCTTTTACTCCATCATTTTTGCTTGGAATTTGCGACAAAATACTAGTATCATTGCAAATTTATATTTATCTGCTAACTTGCAATGAATTTACAACGATATTTTTGAATGGTACATTTGCACAATTTAGTAGCGAGTTAAATCAACTCAAATTAGTGACATGTTATATTAGCATTTCAAAATTAATGGTTATAGATGAAATGAAACACGTTTTAATAAATGGGTTATCAATTTTGTTACCATCGCAAAATGGTCACTGATTTCTTCTTTAAGGATTCACCAAAAAGCCTTGCAATATTGGTTTTTGAAAGAGCCAAGTTGTTCCATCAATACTAACTCACAAAGGCAATGCATGTATGGTGTGAATCAGCTAGTATATATGTTAATTACCATTTTTACTGCAAATTATAATAGGTACTACGTTGATTTTTTGATTGTCTATGATGGTCTCTCTTTTCTTTCCGGAATATTTTTGATTGTCTATGTTGATTTTTAAACTTCCTATAATACTCATTTTGTTGTTGCAGGTGAAAAAGTTTGGACAAGCACAAAGTTGCATGCTCTCCAATGGAGATTATTACTTCAGAAGTTCCAAGAGATAGACATGAAAAGTTATCAGTGTAAATAAAATTCATATGTTGATTTTTTTACATGAGTTCATTTTTCTAATTTTCTGTTATATTCATTGTAAATAAGATTATATTCGGTTTATTGTTTTTAATATATATTGGAATTATGGTTTGTTTGAATTTTATTTTATAAAGTTATACAGAGTAAATATAAAAAGACAAAGAAAAATGAATATGCGTCTGTTGTAGAAATAATACAAATATGACCTTTTACTTTTGCGTCAAATGAAAACCGACGCTAAATCGATCCTAATATACTGACGTAAAATTTAGCGTCATTTGATTAAGCGAAGCTAATAAACTTTGCGTCGGACGATGTTAAGTCGGTTTGAAAACCGACGTTAACATCAATATTAAACGACGTTAATAGCCGTTTCTCTTGTAGTGTACAACTCAATTTTGATAAAAAAAATTCCATGATTTTGAGTTACGTTTTGATTTAATAATTTTAAGAAATGGATATATAACTCAAAGTTGTAAGTCAATATTTATAACTCAAACTCTAACTCAAAAACTTTGAAAATAAAACATGATTGGTAACATTTTGGAGTTATGAGCATAACTCAATCTTAACAAATGAGTTACCAATCCAATATTCACTACAAGTTACATACAACTCAACTTCAACAACTCATGTTACCGATCGGAAATTGCACAAAAGACCACGACTATCACCATGACCATAACCACGAGCACAAGCACGAGCACGAGCACGAGCACGAGCACGAGCACGAGCACGAGCGCAAGCGTAAGCACGATCATGAGCATGATCAGCACGGGCACGGGCATGAGCATGAGCACGGGTACCGACAGAACTATTAACATTGATCTCCTGATCGACAATCATGTTCTCTGCCTCGACCTTTACAGAGCCAACTTTAACTTCATTGTTTGACCTAATCAGTGAGATCAACAGATCCATCTTTTCTTCCATCAAATCCACCTTTCCTTCGATATTATGAAGACGAACAGCCAATAATTTTAATATCTCCATCGGATCATCATCAGATATTGTCTGATCTGTCATGTCTTTCTTATGTTTCTTCGGAAGCGACGTCGTCTCCTTAATCACAGAAGGAGCTGCTTCAGCTTTGCTCGCGGATTTATGAGGAAAATGATTCTAGGTCAATTAAGAAAGAGAAAGTGGAGAGCGGCTATATAAACCCTAGACAACGTTAGGAAGAAAGGTACATATTTATTATTTCTGGCTTGGGGCAGAAGACAATCCATATAGGTTTTCTAATATATGGGCCTGTAGTGGCTCGTACTATACTAGTATCTAAATACGGACATAACACATGTGTCACACATGTATTTAGGTTTTATTTTTCTTTCTTTTTCTTTGCATATAAAAATTTAAGTTTCTTATTAGGAGTATAACCTAATTGTGTGAATTGATTTGGTGAAGTACACTAATTAAGACATCTGTCATATGAACAATTTGATACTTGGATGCTCTATATGGGTAAAGAAACTGCCACAATTTAGTAACGAGAGTTAAACTATTTTTGGCAAATGAGAAAATTATATTTCAATTTATTTTGCTTGAAACTGTTAAAACAAATTGAAAATTCGAAGTTAATATTATGATATACGTGCTACAACAATGAGCTCATACCAAATGTGATTATCAAACTACACTAAGTGTTTTTATTATTCAACACTTAGTAGGTGAGCTTTGTCTTTTTATTTTGTATTTTTTAGACTTCTCTATGCCAATGTTTGAAATGTTTGCAATATTTGTCTTAAAATGCATTTAAACGACTTTTATTGGTTAAGCAGATCTATTACAGTAACACTAAACTTCACTCTGCGGTTTTGCAGGACTATTCCTGAAGTGTGTGTGGAGCAATGTTTGACTCTCACCACGGATTTGTATGCTTGACGTAGGTGAGTCCCCTTTGTTTCCTGAAATGTAAATATATCCTGTTTGATACTTGAGCTGCTTTTAGAGAAAACCAGAGTGAAGTCTTTAGTAGCAAACATAAACTTGGTTTAGTATAAGTATATGTTATTTTTAATCTGCAGGCTTTCATGTAGATGATTCAGAAATAACATTGAATCTTTTTTTGAGTAAACAATACTGTAATTTTCTTCTCTGTTATATCATCAGTAATTACATTTCTTTGTTTGAGTAAACTTATCTATTGAAGTTTTGGGTTTACATTTCTGTAATTACATTTACAGTTACAGTGAAAGAATATCAATTTCTTTTTTGAAATCGCAAAGGAAAAGAAAAATAAAACCTTTAAACTTTACAGAAAAACTGAAAATGAAGAAGAGGAAAAAGAAAAAAAATCAAAAATTATGAAACAGGATTAAAAATCCTATTAGGCGTTGGCACAACAATGCTCTGTGTCTCCACCACCGTCGTCTCTTGGGAATCCCCGGCGGCCCATCGCCTTAAATACCTCATCAACGATGCAGCTTTCCTTCCTCCCCTCGCCGTTCCCGTCCCTATCATCTCCCATATAACCCTTTCTATCCCTGGAATCGCCGCCATCTCCGCCACAAGCTCTGACCCTCCTTTCCTACACATCGTAACCAGCGTAGCCGCCGCGCTCTCCCTCGTCGTATCCGCCCCTTCCCTCATTATCTCTCCCAATTGCCGTATCGAACCAAACGCCGCTGACACCGCCATTAGTCCTCCTCTCCTCACGACCGCCTCCACTACCGCCACCGCCTCCTCCGGCAGCTCTCGGAATGCATCTCTTGCCGCTTCCACTACCCCAGCTTCGATGAACCTCCCTACGTTCTCCCTCTCCGCCGCTAGGTTCAGGATCGCGACAAGCGCGTCTCTTTTAGAGCTCGTCGGACCTTGTTTTGCCAAGTCAACCAATCCGCTAACGACACGTGTTTTTCTCCCGAGTCTTCTTTTGTAAGCTGAGACGCCAGCCAAACTAAACAAAGTCGCGGCGGCGTTTGCTTTAGCCTCCCACGTGGCTCCTGAACGCAGAACCTCGATAACGCCGTTTAAAGCTCCGTCTGTTTCCACGATCCTTGCTTTGTTTTGTTCCAAGATGGAGAGATTAAGGATCGTCGTCACGGCGTTTATCTGAAGACTCGACGACTTCGAGCCTAGATATTGTACCAGCTTCGGTATAGCTCCAGCCTCGGCTATGCAGGCTCGGGCCACCGAGTCTGACTTAGCGAGAGCGCGGAGCTCGTATACGACGTCGTTCGACTCTGCCACAGAGAGCTTATCGATCAGAAACGAAACCAGCATCCTCGTGAACTCCACCGCCTCCTTACACGGAGCAAAAGACCCTACGCCGCCGCCGTCTTCGTATATCTCAAACGGAATCTTCTGATCACGGCACCACATCACGATCAAATTCTTCAAGGCGCGGTTAGGTATGAGGTTGGTGTGCTTGAGAACCTGACCTGTTTTAGGGCAAGTGCTGTGACCTGATTGGATCCAGAGATCGATCGACTCTCGATCATACGTCTGACCGGTGGAAACCACCACCGGATCCTTCATCAGCTCCAGTGTGATCGGACACCGAAAATCCGACGGGATATTCGCGTCGGACAACGACTTATGGCGGCGGAAATCAGGATGAGCCGACGGCGTAGAAGGACCGTACAGCACACAGTTTGTGTAACGAACGAGTCCGATGAGAGATGCGGCTAAGGATTTAGATCTCTCGTCGATCTGATCATGAGTTTCGTCCTCTAATCTCTGGATTTCGTCGGTTAAGCTAACGGAATCTGAAAAACCGAGGCCGTTGAAAATCTCGACTAGCCTCGATTGATTTGGGGAGATCTGGTGCTTGATTCCGTCGATTGTATCCGTAACTTTCCGACGGAGAGCTTCGTCACGTGGCTCAACAAACTGAATCGAATCAGAGCATTGTTTTCTTAGGAGAATGATGAGATCTTGTGAGTCGTCACTTAGACGAAACTCTTTGACCGGTAAAATATCGAGGACGGTGGATAAATCCGTGACGACGTCGTGAAAACTAAAAGCCACGTTCTCGATCTGTAACAGTAACCATAGTTTGCTGGACCTTGAACAATCCTCGATCAGAGTCTTCATACGCTGCATCACAATTTGAAGTTCTTCGAAACAGAGCTGAGCGGATTGAGAGTAAACAACCATGATGTCGTCGTCGTCGGATCGAAGAAGAAGCTCCTCGAAAACTGTGGATAATATCTTCACCTTGCGTATGATGGAGAGAGAGTTCCGTCTCAGGATGAAACGGAGAGGCTGCATGTAAGAAACCTCTTGACAGGCGAGGAACAGTGACCGGGTTAGTTTCGAATCTGACATCTTTGGAGAATCGTGATATCCCAACGGTCGCCGTTTTCTCGCCGGAGATACTTCGAGGGTAACTGCCATGAGAATGATCGTTTCTTTGAATTTCCCGAGAAGGAGAAGATCAAAAGATTATTTTTGTGTTTTGACGGCTAATGACGACTATTACTTTGGATTTGTTTAAATGAAAATTGTATAATATATTAATATACACACGCCTTTGTGAGTTGTCGAGCAACAAATATTAGTAAAGAATAAGAAAAAAAAATGGTTATAAGGTCTTCTTTCACAAATCTTGATGACATCAAGAATGTAACATTTGGTACTTGTTTGACCAATATACAAATATATGATAATGCAACAGGTTTGGTATATGTTTGTTAGACTAGAATTGATCTGGTCATTCATATATTCTATTAATAATAATAATACTCCATGACCATAACTAATCATTCATTTTTAGTTGAAGAATGGGAAGGAATCAATAAGCAAATAAGGATGGCACCACCGCTCATGACTCATGCACCCAACAAACGCAAATGCCTTAATGCGCACACTAAAAGCTTTACTAAACTTGTTAATTGTGTATAATTTATTTTAATGATGTCTACTAAGTTCCAGATAGACATTTTGCTTCTTTTTAAATATTAAAACTTAATCCTCCTATATATTTGTTTATTACAATTATTCTGACAACGAAAACTTCTTTTGCTTTAAGTTTGATGTCTTCTTGTTTTGTATTGATGACATTAGAATGCAACAGTTGGTACATGTTTGTTGGAGTAGAATTGATCTGGTCGTCATTATTCAAAAAGATACTCCATAAACTGACCATTACATAGTAGTTTTATAAAAATTATTATTGAATCAGTTGTGTTGGCTTTTCTCCACTTTTGGTTGAATAATCTGAAAGTTGTTCAATCAGACCTTTAATACTTGAAAAAGTAAGTTTTGCTTATTGTATATAGTAAATGTTTTTGAGTACAATAATGTGCTAAGAGTTTTCATATATCGTTTCAAAAATTGAGTTAGCTATATAACTTCAGCGAGATTATAAGTGGATTTGGTAATTGGTTTGTTCCAATATGTCATAGGTGGCACCTAACATAGCCTTGGGTGGACGGTCTTTTCGCCCTTAAACATCAGGTTTCTGTTATAATGAAACTGATGAAGTAAAACTTTTATACAATATTTACTTATGAATTGAAATTATTTAGAAAAACTGAAATTTTGTTAATTGTTTAGCTTAAAGAAGGATAATACCAATGTATAAATATAGAGGCTTGGAAAATTAGGTGACCTGAATAACCACTACTAAGAAGAACATGACATGCTCATAAGTAAGAATAGATGAAACCATGGTTTGAGAGGGGTTAAGTATTTTCCTTATACCCAAGTTGGGTTTATCATATGCATGACACAATCATCTGAAAATCGACGGTGATGGGGTTGAAATTATATGGTGGTCTTGATGATTATATGTTGACGATGAAATTGGGAGGAGGCTAGGAAACAATTTAGGGTACATATAGACATAGATGAATATGGTGGCGGTGATGATTCTATGGTACTTGGTTGTGGTGATAATTATTTTATCTGTGTGGTAAAAAAAGGTGGTATGACTAAAGTGGTGAATTGAGAGGTGACAAAGGAGATATGGGGCGTGTTCTTTTGGTCACCGCAGCGGCGACGGCAGCGGTGCGGCAGACGCAACGCTTTTGATCCCTAAATCAAATCGACGTCCAAAATTATTAACCGCAGGATATTGCGTTCGCCGCTGCGGCAACTTGCGGCGACCAAACGAACAACCAGACCTGCGTTCGCCGCAGCCGCATGTACCTGCGGCAACCAAACGAACAACCTCATGGTGGTTAAAGATTATGCGAGTGGTGGCTGTATAATTTTACTCCAAATTTACTAAAGCTGTGAGATGCAATGACAAAATTATTCAGTTATACAGACAAGTCAATATATAAGTTAGCTAATGTTGTTCCTATATGAATTATTTAACACAATAAATATAAATTTATCATATAACTGATCAAATTATCATGATACAATATAATTTACATTGTCTCTTTTTTTTTGTTTCTAGTATAAATAGTTTTTTTTTTAATGTTTTTAACATTGCAAATTGCTTACAAAACATGCTATATAAAGCTATATCGGCATACATTATTATATATCATGTTAATTAAATAGTTTACTATCCAAATTTACAATTAAATTTGCAATATTGCTAAAAATGTTAATGATCTAAATGGGATGTATATATTTGCAAAAATCCTCTTATAACAAAAGAAAACTATATTTATTATTTATTTCTCTTCCTTTTTTTTCCTTATTTTTTATGGCATCACTTGTGTTACATCCCCTCTTTTCCAAACATCCTCAAAATATGCCATCGATTGGTTTTATTCTTAATTTTCTGTAATATCTATCGGGAAGATATAAGATTTGTAATGGTTGAAGATATTGTTTAGACTTGTTGGGTTCAAGAATTAAACTTTGATGGCCGATAGACCGCACATTCTACGAAGGGATAGTAGATTCATTTAACTCCCCTATAGAGTTTGATGGAATATATAAATGACTCTACCACCCTTCAAAGAACTTGCGGCCCATCGACCACCAAACTCTAATCCTTGAACCCACCAAACATTCATCATATCTCCATCATTACAAACCATATCCTTTCTAGATAGGCTTGAAGCTTTATTTTGGATGATGAATGCTTACTCGATGTCATTAATCTTAAGACAATCAAAAGAAGCAGGCTAAAAAAAAGGAAATTGTGTTGGTGTAAGTGTTTGAAAGATGGATGAATCGAGAGAGGGACTGCATATATATTTAATAGGAGGCTTCCTAAACTAAACATAAAAGAAAAGGTGTTTTCATCTTCATGAAAGACCGTCTCTAAGAAGTGAGATAATCAAAAAGCAAGATATTTTGGAATGAATTTCATTGTATATATTGAAAGCCAACAATTAACATTCTTTTATACAAAGAGAGCATATCTAACTCATAAATGCTAAATATTACAAAAATTGTATGGTGCATAAATTTAAGAAATTTATTGAATGAAAAATCTTTAAACATAAATAATATGATTGTATCATATATCAATAGAATAGTTTAAGATATCAAAAATATTGAATCTTTATTTTATTTCTTAATTGAAATTGACAAATTTGTGTTTTTTTGGCAGTTTTATATCATTTTCTTTTTGCAATCTTTACTATATAAGCAGTGTATGATAACAAATTGCCAAACAAGACACAATATTTTTTTTTCAATTAAGAAATAAATTAAAAATTAAAGATTTTGATATCCTAATATAATAGCATGAAGAAGAAGAGAGATCTTCCAAGCGATGGAGGATTGCAAAAACTTGGCGGTAAAAAAAGTAGAAATTAGTATGCTAACTATGTCATTACAAATATCAAAATCGAAACATAAAACCCAAAGAAAAAGAAGTTTGCTTCTTTAAAAAGGAAAGGGTTGCCGCGATATTCATCCGTCTGCATTCTCAAAATTTCTACGCATACTTTTTGGCTCTGAAAAAAAAACATCAAAATAAAGTTTGTCTTTAATTAAACTATACGATGACAAAAAAAATAATTAAACTATACATAATTTTTTTAGTATAAATAACAACACCTGCAATTGAAACGAGATACACTATTTATATATTATGGTAATAAAATGTTAACAATCCAAATTTACAATTATATTCATCGAAAACCTTACCAAATTTATGAATTTATCTGTGTTTAAATATATATATATATTGTTATCGTGTTAACCCAATAGATAATCATCTAATTTATAATATGATTATACCCATATATTTGATGAAAAATATCTTTAAAATCAGATTTAGAAACTTAAATTTTTATTATATCATATAATGAACAGTATCTTCGATTTCGGATGAACAGCGTTATCGAGTAGGTTACGAACAATATTGCTAGAATTTGTCTTTTCAAACAAGTGTATCCTTATAATCTTATGAATGACATTTTTGTAACTAAATTTAGAAAAAAGACAAATGTGGTTTAAATAGAAAGAAGGAAGAGAAATAACTAAACAAACTAGTACAATAATTAAGGTTCGATATTTAATTCTCCTTTAACAGTGTATATTAATTAGTGTAGCCCAAAAAAAACAAAAATTTGCAGTAAACGAAACACTTCTTAACGTTTCGCGTTTGTTGCAACGCTAACGCGAAAAAGCGTTTTGCTTTGGCGTTTTGGTCCGTGTAAACTGAACACATTCTGGAATTGAAGAGTAAAGATTACGCTCGGGATCATCATCGTCTTCCTCTTCCGACTGATAAATCAAATCAAAGCCGAGATTCCGAAGTTTCTCTAGTCCGCCATAGATAATGGCGACAAAGGCGGCTTCTTCTTCCAGCCTCCCCAAATCTGGAGCCATCTCCAAAGGCTACAATTTCGCTTCCAATTGGGAACAGGTAATCGCACAATCTGAGCTCGAGATCTCGCCATTGGGATCCATGAAAATCCCGATATGGATCAGGGATTCTCTTTTGCCGTGGCCTGGCCTCGTTTTCTCTTCATATAATGTAGTGTGGTTACTTCCATTGCAGAGCGCTCCTTTGACTGAGCAGCAACAAGCAGCTATAGTTTCTTTATCACACGCAGTAGCTGAGCGGCCATTTCCTGCCAATCTTGTCAGTCTGGGTTTTTTTTTTTTTTTTTATATCTCTGGATGTTTTTGAGAATGTTTTCCTTTTTGTTTTTGGTTTGATGTTAGTGTTAGTTCATGGTTATAGGTACATGAGCATGTTCACAGGCCCGAGAATGGCTTGTCTGTCTCAGTGGAGGACACAAAATTGGGAGAATCTGGAGCAATTGAAGCTGTTCTGGTTAATACGAATCAGGTAATTTCTTGTCTTGCAAAGGTGTGTCGAGTATAGCCATGCTTAGCTGATTTGATAAAAGTTCTTATGCGGTGCTATAAGATTTGCATTTGTATTTGTGGGCATCTCTCTATGTGTACTAATGCCTCTTCCTTTTGACGTATGTTGTTTACAGTTCTACAAATGGTTTACTGATCTTGAATCAGCGATGAAGTCTGAGGTTAGTGATATTCGTGTTGTTCCTAGGTTAAAGGTTGGGAAACATTACTTGTCTAAATGATTTGTTCTGACATAGACAGAGGAAAAGTATCGGCACTACGTCAATACTTTAACTGAGCGCATCCAGACGTGTGATGATATACTTCACCAGGTAGGTTTCCACCAAATTCTGCACATTCCTGTGGTCTTACCTTGCCAGTAAA